GGTTGGAACCAGATGATCTTTAAGGTCCCTTCCAACCCTTACCATTCTATGATTCTATTCCACGATTCTATGACAGTTCTCATTAAATATTATTTTGTGCACCTGGAAGCCACATCTGGTAAACACCAGTCGTGTGCTGAACACCACCAGAGCCCACAGCATTTGCCCTCCTAACTGAGCAACGGCCTCTACTGAGTCCAGAAAACAGAGTCAGAGGAGGACCAGCCCCAGAGCCCCACAGTTCTCACCAGTTTTGATCTCCTGTGTTTGCGGGTCAGACACAGGAGTGATTAACGCAATACATTCAGCTCTACAGTCTTCAGGGGCACTGCAAGGAATGAGTTGCAGGGTTCACTTTTGGAGATTCAAGAATCTATTAGTCTGGGGATCTCACCAGTGAAACACCATTAGTATTCCTTACTACCTCGCCTCTTCTCCGGGTGTCACAGCTTTCTCTAAAAAGCTTTCCCAAAGAGAAAGAAGAGCTGTAGCTGATTGTAGATGCAACACTGCACAGAAATCAGCTGCTGCTTTCCTCTGCTGCAGCCTTCTGTAGATCACGTTATCTTCACCAGGACTGCTGCTGTCGGGAGCCCTTTCTCTCACTTGTATCTGCACTCCAAGGCAGCCCAAGGGAGAGAACTCCGGTCCACGGTCTTTAAAGCTTTCCAAGGGGTCGATGTTGAAAAGCTTGTATATGTGAGAGCTAAATCCACAGTGCATCCATTGATTTCATTGAAAATGTCCTTCTTTCACTTGACTAAATTTTATCAATAATTCTCCCAAGTCCAAAAGCTCATAGCACCCTACAAAGCCACATAGTCCCATAATAATGAATAATTCCTTGGTGCAGTTTTGTCCCAAAGCATAAGTAAACCTTTCTTCTTGCAGTTAATCTGTCATGATTAAATTAATTAAAGCTGGACGAGCCCCCTAATTCCTCTTGCTGATCTGATCTATCTTCCTAAAAAGAGCTTTTTATAACAGCTATTACACTATAATTGGCATTTTGTGTGTTCTTAAAAAAACTTTTCTTTTTTCGCTGTATTTATTTTATTTTGTTTGGACTCCGTGAGTTTTGCCATTTTGGCCTTGGTGCGCTCGCTGCTGTGACTCACGTATTCCACAGCTACTGCCAGATCTCTGGGGCCAGCATTGTAATTATCGCATTAGGACCTGTCAGTGTAGCCCTGACTTAATATATGGCTGGAGCAGTGATTAGAATCGCTGATTGATCTGTTCCACAGTTTTGGACACTCACATCTGAGATGAACAGCGGGACTGTGGATATTAAGGGTTTGAAATGTCAGCATTCCAGATTAAAATAGTGTTAATTAGTCATTCCAGGTACATCAGCTGTTATATATAGTAAGCATTTCTGTGTTTGATAATCTGGTGCTGATCAGCTAAAACCATGACTCAGATTCATCTCACAAGCTGCAGAAGAAAGCCCCGGCCCTTCCTCTGTGCCCAGCTCGCTGGAGACATGCAGCACACAGCAGATAACCAGGGTCCCTTTCAGGTAAAACTCACAGTGCCCTTCAGGAGTGCAGCTCAGGCATTGCAGTCCCAGGTGGACATTCAGTCCACAGAACCAGGCTAGATCTGGCCCAAAGCAAAGCAAAGCCCTGATACGGGCAGAGTGTGGCTCCTCAGCACCAATCCTCTCACGCCACATCCAGAGGTCAGACAGTAACGCACCCCCAACAGCATCTGAGCAAACTGAAGCAAGAACTCCATGGAGGGGATCTTGCTGGTGGTGGTTCTTCACCCCACAGCTTCCTCCACGCTCTCCCTGAGAACTCGGGGCAAGCCAGGAGCCTGCAGAATGGACCAAGAGAGCCAGCGGGAGGTTGACTGGGACATGCAAGGTGGAGGCAGCTCTTCAAATAGTTTTGGTCCAAAGGCAGTGCTGTGCTATTCAGAGGGACCAGCCCTGGTCCAGCAGCAGCCCCAGGGGACAGATGTCTGTTCCTCCTGGCCACAGGAGAAAGGTGGTGATAGGGCATGCCGTGCATGGCCGCTGCACGACTCTTTGTGGTAGCTTGTGGCAGCTCTGGGGAATCGGCCTACCACACTGGGCTTTTTCTGTAAAAAATCATATGCTTTAGATGGAAATTCTGTTATCCTGGGAAGGAGTTGAAGGAGATAAGTGAGGGCGTGAAAACTTACTAGGTAATTCCAAACTTTTATGATACTATCTGTGTATCCAGTGATGCTATGAACATGGATGTCTTTTGCCCCTAAAGGCTGTATGTTCAACATGGACATTTTATATTTCTTCAAAACCTGCTTGGTTTAGGTTTGTTGGGTCCATAGCTTGACAGATATAGAACAGACTAAGGAAATGGGCCAATTGTGTTCAGCTATACTTTCAGTTCTTAAAAATAATCTTTAAAATTGTTTATTTTGTGAGATTTTATTTCCATTCTTGAATAGGGAAAAGGTTCTGAGAGTTTAAAGGCTCTGAAAACTGGTATTGGAGTGAGTATCATTCTCTAGATGGCTCTGGGTTAACCTGAAGTTGCATGTTGACAACTCAAAAGTATTCATTCAAAATCCAGTAGCAGGAATCTTGTCTGTGCACTGTTCAAAACATTGTTTTCTGTTCTTGCCAACAGTTTATTCTAGATCTGGAATTCCTTTCCAGGGCAGTCTGAATAATGCACAAGCGCAGAGTCATCCTGCCACATGATATTTTGCCCCTATGGAACTGCTAAAAGTCATCCCCTCAGCAGAGGCAATTTTGGGCAAACACTCAGCAAGCTCATGCCTTTCCAGAGCGTTTGGTGCATGAAAGCTGCACAGCCCAAGAAGCCGAACCCAGTTCTCACCTTATTAGCATCACATTTATTTTGCCTTCATCACCAAGGAAGATCAGCTGCCAGCTTTTCTGAGCCCTCTGTGGGCAAAACATGACTATACCTCTACCTTGAACTCTGCAGTGTGCCCACAGAAACCAGCATAGCCAGGAGGAAAATAACACAATTCTGCCCAACAGGAACTGAGGATTAGTGCACACCATGCCAGCTACCTGCTTGCTGTCCCTGAATGTAGCATTTCACTTCTTTTCGTCTCCAAAATTGGTGTAATGGTATCCATCTACATTTCTAAAGTGTTTTCAGGCTTAGGGCCAAACACCCTTTAGGAGAATGATTTATTTTTATCTCTGCCACCACAACCACATTTGCACATGAGGGATACCGTGCACTCATAGCTCTGGGGCTGCGGGTAATCCTTGCTTTGTGATCCTAGGTTGCTAAGCAGCCTGTGTTCAGAGATGTAAGGAATCCCTGCTGTACTTGTCATGTCACAGTGTTGCCCAGCATTCAAAACGTTTTCTCAACCTGAAAAAATTCTTAGGGATTTCCCACTGAGGCTCAAAGGCAGTCATATATTTTATTTATTTTATTATAAGCCATGTAAGTAAAAACTTGCATATCTGAAAAAAGACATTAGATAGAAAACAGTAATAAAATTAACATTATTCTTTTAAGAAACTTGGTAATAAATACATTTCCCCTCCACATTAAAATGCTTGTTATTTTGCACAACAATAAATACAGCAGAGCTCTGGCATAGAGAAAGGCCAAGGCTGGATACAAGGAGTCCGTGTGGTTTCTTAAAAAAGCTCAGGTGATTTATAAAGGTTTGGCATCCTGCACTTGATGCACTTTAATACAACTTGCACTTTAATTTTAATTTTACTATGATTTTTAAACAGGCCCATAATATGAAAATACGAGAGGAAATTTTGTTTTATTACAGGATTTTTCCTTTAAATATTTTCGAGGTGAGAGATGTGTAAACTCATTAAAACCAATCCTTGAAATTAAAAAAAAAAGTGTCTTGGTGACTATCCTACAAAAATGCAGATTTTTCAGCTGTGGGTGCTCAAGCCTGACCAGCCAACTGGCAAAGGACAAATCCCCAGTCAGTTCATCAATTCTTTCCACAGTTTTTAAAAACAAATCATAATAACAAGAAGAAAGAGTAAAGAATTTAGTATTCACTTCCCAAGTCATGACAGTTCGAGGTTCTTACTCTATTATCTGGAGGTGAGAGGAGAAACAACAGGTACAGTCCAGAACACTTCCCAGCATAACTTTGGGTCATTCTGGTCTATACTTTTTTTTTTTTTTAAACTACCAACAAAAAAAGAAAGAAAGAAAGATATTTCCATGCACCGTGCTGTTCTTATGCCAGCACGTATCATCACAATCACAACTGTGAACCTAAGTCACTTTGATAGCCCAATCTAATATAGATTGATTGATTGTCCCACGTCATAGTTAGATAATGTCCACAAAATGCCACAAGCTCTGGCAGAGTCCAGCGTTCTTAAAGTACTGATAGGTCATGGCAAGACTTGGACTTGAGTTTGAAGGCCATGTTCTTGTTGTTCTTGGCAACTATTTTGCCCCAAAACCGCCTGGCTTTCTTGGGGATGCTCTCTCTCCGTTTCTGGTATGCCAGCCGCTTCTCGTTCTTTTCTTTGCTGTCCCTCCGGAGCCGGACTTGCCGCACGATGCCTTCAAAGAGCTCTTTCACGTTGTGCTGCACGGCTGCTGAGGTCTCAATGAACTTGCAGTCAAACACAACGGCGCAGGCTCGTCCCTCTGCAAAAATTGCAAGGTGGGTATGTCACGAGGCATCACAAGCAGCAGGGAGGCAAAGCGGCCGCAGGCTGCCACGTGTGGGGAGCCAGTGCCGCCGGGGGAATTCCTCGAGCCTAATATAGGCACGGATAAATCCTTAATCACCCAAAGCCACCTGCTAGGCTGTGATTCATCTTTTCTGTGTCACACTCCCTGCCCAGCGAGGCAGGGTGAGTCCCCTCCTGGAAAAGCCCAGTCCCCGCTGTCAGCTGTGGAGGGAGCAGGGGCTGACCAACTCGCGTGGAGACACCGCAGGCTGAGACGTCAGCTATGTGACTCAAAACCACCTGGTCATCTTACATGCAAACTCCATCTGTTTGCATTACAGGGTGATGACAGCACCCGCCATGCGCACAGCACAGCTCTCACCCCCATAGGAGGCAGAGCCCAGCCTCCTGCTTGGGTCATGGCTGTAAACCAGGGTCTTGGGACAGCAGCAGCTTTGGCGTGAACAGAGACAAGGACAAACCCCTTAAATAAAGGCAAAACAAGGCCTACAGCTTTAGAGGTGCATCTGACATCATAGTTCTTTTCCTTAATTACGTGAACCTAAGCTAAACTTGACAGCTGTCTTTCACATGCAAGCCAATTTTTTCTGTCTTCTGGCTTGACATGAACTCATCACCAGGATGACTAAAATGACATGAATGCACCTGTCATCTTCCAAAAGATTTTTCAAGTGGGGCAGAGAGGAATGAGCAGACAAACAGACATCCCTGGACTGCTGATGTACTCCTCAGTTCAAACTCTTCACTTGGGGCAACTGTGTCGGGGGTGGGGAACTGTGCACATCCACAGTGGAAAAAAAAAGTCTAGATCAACTGGGAAGCAGAAGAGCAGAATGGCAGCAGAGAGAAGTAAATGTGGAGCAGAGGAACCTATGTTTCTGATGGGCCAAGATGAGGTCATCTAATGCATTACTGTGTGTTGTGTCACCTAAGCATCAGGGAAGGCTCTCCAAGAAGAGTTATTACTGACTGCAGACCTTAGGAGCTGGCAGCAGCTTTCCCAGCAGTCTCTCTATTCCTATTTGTGGGCCTAGGGCTCCCTGGGATTTGGGAGAGTGGCACAGGCTGGTTATTCTTTTGTATGCAGCAGTGAGCAGATGTTTCAGCATCCCAAAGCAAGGCAGCAAGGAGACCTCTCCTGAAAGGCGCACCGTTCCTGCCCATACTATAAAAACGAAGGGTGAGAGGGAATTTTAATTCATCAGGAAGGACAGAGAACAGGTTAAAGGAAGAGATAAACTTTGGCAGCAGAATAAAGGGGGCTACACGTTATGCAAAAGCACATATTGGAAGCCCAAAGGGTTTCCAGCTAGCAGAGATACCACATAATGCAGTGGTCATACACTAGGAACTGGAGGGGAAGAAATTCAAGCTGCTCTGCCCTTTGGTCCAGTCCCTGCTGTTTTATTGCTCTTTTGTTGCTCAGTCCTGATCACAGTGTACTCCCTCAGCCAGAGCTCTGCATTTTGTTCAAAAGCTACTAGATGACTGTTAGCACTTATGTCATTTTATCCTCCTCCTTTTCCTTACCTGCCACTGAAACTTCGCGGCACCTGACAAGGTCACTTTTATTGCCAACCAGAATAATGGGGATGTCTTCTTTCTGGCGTGCCCTGCGGAGCTGTATTCTGAGTTCGGAGGCCTTCTCAAAGCTCACGCGGTCTGTGATGGAGTAGACAATCAAGTATGCGTCTCCCACTTGCATGCAGTGGTCTCGAATCCATTCTCCTTCACGCTGTTCAAATGAAACGGTCAGGCATCGTTATGCCCAGAGCAGACTTTACTTAGAATGTATAACATTAAAGAATCCAAATACATCCCTGCTGCAACTGTAATGGGTATGGTTTGAATCACAGTCACACTAAAAGTAATTCCAATGCGGTGATGGTACGAATACTTCACCACAAAGGAGGGAAAAACTTGCCCCAGATAATTCATTGTGCTGGCTTTAGACTGGAATGAACATGTTCTGGAAAATGGCTTGAATGTTTTGGTTTATCATTAAAAAAACAAAGAAGGCTTGCACTTCTCAGGCTCACACTGCAGAGCTATTAGGCATGCTCGACTTGGTGTGGGCGTGGGGTTAATCCCATATTTTTCCTAATGTTGAAGTATGGAAAACACCTACTTTCTGTCCCAAAAGATACCTACTTTTAATATTAGCAGTTATTCACATGCCCTTTTCTTTTGGCATTTGACTAGAACAAATTGAAGTACCTTATTATCCCACATGTCGAGCAGTATAATGGTTGCACTTTCCCCATCCACCACCAGGGTTCTTTCATATGTATCTTCTGGAAAGGAAATCAGAAAGGTTGGTCATATATTATTTTGTGGCATCATGTGCATTACAAAAAACAAGTAGTTGAATACGTATCATTTGTTCACAGTTCAAGTTATCGAGCCAGATTTTATGCTGGCTCACATTCATTTCTTTCCTCATTTCCATCAGCATTGAACCTGCCCTCCATTCATTATGGGTTGTCTTACTTTCCATGATATATGAAGGAGGCTGAAAGATCAGGAAACGAAATGTTCATTATTTTGGCTGATATTCTCTTTATCTTATGTGAGAGAGAGAAAATATAACCAGTGGAAGAAATAACCAAAGGCTGAACATTTGCCCCATGGGAGCAGCAGAGTCCAGCGAGGCTGAGTAATGGAAAATATTTGCTTTCGCTTTAGCAGGGACAGTTTACGGGTGAACAGTCACTGCTGCTGGGAGCAATACAGCTAACAGTCTACCAAGCAATGAGGACAGGGTTTTGGGAGACAAGAGATGGTGAGTTTTAGGGAGGCTGAGACTTCTCTCCCTTTTCACGATTTCCTACACTATCTTTCATGTCAAGAAGCAAAGGAATCAACAAACCACAGGAGTTCAATGATCTTGTACTGAGGCCACAAAAATTCATACCCAGACTATAAACACCATGTGACTAAGTTGTTCTTAGATCTGAGGGGGGCTGTTGCCACTCCTAACTTCGATCAGCCCTTACTGTGAAATCTTGGTCTAGCTTCTGCTTCACATACTAATCACCCTTCTTCAGCCCAAACCTGGGGACATTTGGAAGAGCAATCTGGGGTTTGGACCCATCTCTAGTCTTGCGTTGCTGGTCAGTGAAAAATGCCAGGCTCTGGGCTTCTGAGCAAACCACCCCTCTCACTGTAGTGTTTAAGGGGTCTGTCCCAATCACGCTTGTAGACAGGACTGTGTCTTAACCTTTGCCTCGTATAAGCTCTGTTGGGCATTAACGGAGTGAATTTTCCTCTAAATTGTAATCAGAGCCTTTCCTTGAAGCCAGGAACGTACATCCATGCAAAAGAATGAGACCAAAATATTACACATTTAAAATAAAGTTAAAAAGTGGACAGGCTTGACGCAGCTTAAAATGGTGAGATGAAAAAAGCAAAGCTGATCAAGAGGAGCAGTCTCCCTTGCAGGCCCTATAGCATGACACTTGTGCTCATGAGTTAGGTTAATCCTACAGTCAGCAGCAAAGCCAGTCCATAAAACCATCTGTATTCCCTCTGTGAGCTGGCTACCCTGAAACTACTCTGTCTTGTAATAAAATTTCCAGTTTGCAAGCTAAATTTTGGAGAATAGTTTCTTTAACTGACCAAACATCTGCATGGGAACAAGCTCCATATACACCAGAGGACAAGATCCAGAGGACTGCTGCTCCACTCTGTTACACTTGGAGAGGCTACAAATACTTAATCACACTCCTCTGAAATACTATGCCCAGATGGTCATATTCAGCACTGATTTGCACCTTGGGCAAGCCTAAGGAACTTCCATGGGATATAAAACACACTGAAAGTGAGCTACTAGTTCATCTCATGCTTATTTCGAAGATGAGACTAAAACAGGAGAGATACAACAACAGCAAGCTTTACAATACCTCAGCAGAGCTGGCCTTGAAAATCTGTCACTGCTACACTCCAAGCAATATTGCTGGAAGTGCGAATGAAAGAGGAAACCATACGGCTTCGCATGGAGGAGAGGAAAACTGTCTGACTGGGGTGTGCAAAGCAAATCAGATGCATTTTCTGACTGCTTGCCCAAGCGTCTTACTCTCGTTCGGTGGTGTAGCACCAGGAAACCTTTAATCAGAGATACTCCAGCCTGAGGAGCTGGTGGAATTACGGGAATAGTCAGTGGCAGGAGCTGCAGACAAAGCACACCTGAAGAACTGATTCAAAGTGACTGCACCATGGGGAATTTCAAACCCCCCAAAGGCACAGAGATCTGTGCCCCCAGTCTGCGACAGCAAGCAAGGAAAATGCAGGTCCAGCCTTCCTGATGTTGGGATGTATTAAATCCTGGGTAAAGCCTCTCCTAACCAGAGAGGTAAAGACATAAAAAGCTGTCCTGCTGCACTGGGGATTGGAAGAGAAGCACCATCACACCAAGGGAGTACAGGCAGGAGAGGGCAGGGATGCGGGAGAGACAAGGAGAGTCCTACATGCTGACGAGCAGAACCAGCCAGCACCCTGCATCTCCTCCGAAGGCCACAGTGTCTGCCTCCTTAAAGCCACAGCTGATGTCTGTTGCAGCACAATCCTTCCACATCAGCATCTCACAAACAATATAGCCCAGGACTTGGTGCCACAGCTTCACCTTCCGCGTGGTCTGATCTTTGGGACTAAAGAACACCTTGCAGTCCTAAACAAAGCAGAGGAGGATAGGAAGGGGGAAGCATGAAAGAAAACCCTACAGCTTGTGCCTTTTCCCCCTGTTTGGGCAACAGCAATTTTCCTACACTGCTGAAGGACCTTTGTCTGTTTTCCCCCGGGGGAACCCATGCTGTGCAAGTAACATGAAATGAGGAGGAGAAATGTTTTACTCAAACTCTATACAGCCTACGCTGAGGTAATGTGTGTATACAGAATGGCTGAGATGACTTCTTATGGCAAATATTATGGAGGTGATTGAAGGACTCAGCAGTGGCTTTTTCTTTATATTTTACTTCTAAGCATTTCATTCTCATAGAGCACAAGGACCGTCAGTTGTTTTCTCTCCCCAGAAAGCTGGAGTCAGTCCCATGGAGCCAGTGGTGACACAAATGTTGGACCAGCCTGAAAGCTGAACCAGCCTCCTGTGTAGCATCATCCCATGTAGGAATGAGGCAGCTTCCAACAGGTATTTTGAAATTAAATGCATAAGAATCTGAATTGTTGTCTTTCAGAGACTTTCAGTCACTGTTGGTGAGTATCTTACTCAACTTACTTTGCTTTCTCATTTTCTTAAGAGAGATGCATATGTTGAATCAATTTTGGTGATCAGATCCAAACATCTGTTACCTCAATTTCTCATTAAATGGCCTCTCTGATTTTCTGTGCCAATTACTACTGGCAGCACTGATTGCAAGCAAACATGAACACTCCAGGGCATAATGACCTACCTCCCAGCACCTCACAGTCGCTGTCGATGCTGTCATGCACACCCGCAAAGATGTTGGCTAGTGAGGACTTGCCCACGCCATGCTCCCCGATCAGCACCACCCGGTAGCAATTGCTGCCGGACTCAGAGGAGATGACGGAGTCGGACGACTCCGAGGACCAGCTCCTTCTGTAGTATTCATCAGGACTGATGGTGTATCGCTTCTGCGGGTTGTACTCATTGGAGTCTTTCTGGACCAGCAGATTCTTTCCATCAGCAGGGATGCTCCAGCGCTGCTGCTGCTGCTGCAGGCTGCTGTTGTGGGTGCGACGCATGGTAACATTGTTAAGGGTCATTTTTTGCACCTAGTGAGAAATAAGGAAATCACAAGCATTACCCACAAAGCATTTAGAAACGCATTGACGTCCTCTTATTGACTTCAAGGCAGCATGTCCTGCTCATCTGTAGGGATCTAGTACACAACAAAAGAAAAACGAGACTTTATGTACTCTTTTGTAGTTGATGGTACACAAAGAAATATTTATAGTCAGTCAGAGGCTTATTCCTAGAGATGATACCACCCTCACATGCTAAAGCCCATCTTTGTTCAGCCTTTACAAGCTCACGGCTGTGCTAGGTGCAGCCCAGCCCTGGAGAGGGAGGTATTGCTGTGTGCCAGGAGGAGAAGGAAGGAGCAGCATTCACCAGAGCTGTCCTGCACGGGAGCTGCATCCCTGCTGAGAGGCAACCTATGGCACAGGCAGCACCTACAGGCACTGCTCCCCATCCTTTGGGCTTAGCTGGGGGCAAACAGAGGCACCGGTCCCAGCTGCCTCCAACTCCCAGTGCAGCTGGGTGTATGGCATCTTTCACACTGTCTCAGTTAAGAGCTGAAACTTTCGGGAAAGCAAGAAGACATCACTCGCTGCACCCTTAGACAGCCCTGATATGAGAAAAGAGCCATGCAAGGAAGTCTGGCTACGATGGGGTGCATTTGGGTTTCATCTGCATCTGGGCAAACAAAGAATGGCTCTGCTTCAGACAGTGGCTTTTTGGCTGGAAACAGGGAAGGCACAGCCAAGACCAACAGCTTTTCTGAGGAGGTACAGGTTCTAGCCTCTACAGGACAGAGCGCTGGGAGAAGTTCATAAACTTACAGATACTAAATCAATAACTTCATTTACTGCACAATCAGCTAGATAGGTTTACTCTTCTTATCTAAGCATGGCTTTTAATTACATTTTACTCAGCACACTCTATTTTGCCTTGCTTGTAGGCAGAGGACAGTGATGTCATTCTCACGGGCCAAGGGCTACCATTTTTAGGAAAGTTACTTTGATGCATTCCAGTTCCCAAAGTGACAGTTATTTAGACGTTTTGCTTTTTGCCATTTATCTGATGTTTCTTGGCTCTCTTTTCCATATTAGTAAATAGAATATTTGTCTGTAAAATGCACCCGACTACTTTCAAACTTGAATAATAGGTGGTGAACAAAAAAAAGTACAGTAAAGCATCAAAACAACACCTACAAACTGCTATTTCTCTTCACACAAAACCACCTGAAAGCTTCTGTAAATAAATGCACAGCAGGACATAGGACAAATACACAGAAAAACCACAATCTATCTGAACTTCTTACCGCATGCGCAGTATTTTCTCTGTGATGCACAGTACTTAGGGGCAAAATGAGATTGTTCACATGGTCCTGGTCTCAGCAGGTCTCCTCTTTGTCAGCAAGAAATATATCTAAACTAGAAATCACACACCAAGCAAAGCCTGCTTCACAAACAAAATGAAATATTTACTGCGATGACCGAATTTAAAAATGCATTTTTTCCTTGCAGTTTCCCTGCTGAAAAGACCAGACGAGAAAAGCCAACTCCAACTCAGCCAAACAACAGAGCCTAACTCACAACCTGCCATAAACAGTCACTCACTAAACCTTCACAAACAGGAACATTTTACGATTTCACCGCTAACAAATTATCCTCCCTCATTAAACAAAGTCAAATGAGTCCCTGTCACTGTGTTCCAAGTTCAAACTGGTTTTAATACCCAGTGCTGCATTTAGTTGCCTGGGTCTCTAGCACTGATAGTAAAAGACTGAGCCCAGAGCAAGGTTGCCTTACTTCTGTCAGGCTCCTCCGGGCAGCCGGGTCCTTCGCTCGCGCTGCCCTTCTCTCTCGGTGCGCTGCGGTACGCTGAGCTGCTCGGCCGAAGTAAATCCTCTCCTGCTTTGGGACTGCCTCTTTAATTCTTTCTCAGCAAACCTGGTTTATATTAAGCCCATCTGATCAGAGACAGGGCTTTTCCGTGACGTGGTTGGCCTTTCCATACAACAGCCAGCCCCCAGCTGGGAGGAAGCAGACATGCAGAAGAGCAAAAACTTGCAAACAATCTCTAAAGACTTACTCAAAATCATATGATTGTCTTCATGCTGCCAGCAAAATAAACACATTTGATTCTTGCATGATGAAAACAGGAAAGTGGAAAAAACCAACATGATACATGTTACTTCATCTCACTCAGATTTTCATTTAAACATTATCAAAATTAATGATGCTTAAAAAATGACATAAGTTTCATTAGTGCATAAAATGCTGTAAATACGTTATGTCCTTTGCCTGCAAAATGCACTCAACCCCCTGCTGGACAAAACATTTATGTGGAATAAAATATCTGAATGCTATTTTTGAATTATCCTAAAAATATGAATATTATTCTGTTTTTAAAAATAATTAAAAACTAATATATACAATCCTATTTTTCTCTGTCAGCGTCGAAGTGACTGCACCCAGTTTCCTGAAATGCGTAATCGGCTCTCACTTCTCCTGCAACCCTTTACTAACAGGGGCTGGAAAAAACCTCCAGCTACATATTCAGGGTTACTCCGGCTGGATAGTGGCAAAGGTGCCTCAGCACACACAAAGCCTGCACCAAGTCAAAGTAGCACAGTGCTGATTCCGTCTGCAGTTCATTAGAAAAGATGAACATATAATGTACACACCACAGACTCAGGGTCGGCTCCTGAAATTTTTATGATCTCTCCTTGGCAGAAGAAATTTTGCCAGAAAGAAAAGAAAGTCCAAACCTGTAACGCGTGCTGCCGGGTGACACTTCTAACAATACACGCAAAATACTTCTTGATTAACAGATAAAGAGTAATAAACTTCCACAGAAATACTCAGTAGGGGTACCACAAGTTATATAAAAGCATATGGAAACTCTAGAGTCAGCTTTCAATTATCCAGGTTCTGGATTAACTATGATGAGCTCAAAACCAAGCTCCTACAGCTTTCCTTTATATTTACTGTCTCCTAGTTACTCTATCAGCCCCTGAAACCAACAGACGACTCATTCTTATCTATACAAATCTGAACAACTTTTCTGCTGAGCAAGGTTAATAATATATTTTTTTCATGTGCCCAGTCTTACGGGCGAGCAAGCCTTTAACTGACAATCTACCTTTGTTAAAGGGAGCAGTGATACACAGAAAAAAAAGTATCTATTGCTCTGATTGCAGCCTAGCCCTTATTTCACATTCCTCCACTGTAAAATTGATTAGTTTTCCCCTGAAAAAGCAGACCTTTATGAAATTCTTTGGTTGAAATCTGCTTGCTTAGTTTTCTCTTTGGCTTTAGTGAATTCCTGTGTCTTTCATGAGGATTTTCAGGGCCCTCCTGAGCCCATTCTCAAGTTTAAAGAACCAAGAGCATTTCTCAAAGTAAAATGCTCTCATCAATTTACATGGAAATTATTAAGATCTACAGAGGGGAGAACTGGTAAAAAAAATATGTCCTGATCTTCCTTCGCCTGCATTTCACTGCACAGCAGCAGCTGAACTGGCCCCAAGTCCTGCGTCTGCACCTCACCCGTCCCTTAGACAGCGGGCTCCGCGTCTCGGCTGCCGTGCAGCAATCCCAAGGAGCACACAGGGGCACGTCCCTCTGCACAGGACGTGCAGAGCAGCTGTTAGCACTCACTGCACTATAAGAAACAACTTCTCTGTCGGGAAAGCTTTAGGGCACGGCCAGTATTTTGCAAGACGGAGCACTTTGCTCTTCTGCTTTCAGCACACTCAGCGCCGCTTCTGAAGTTGCTCGAGTATTTTTGAAACACACTGGAAGTCATGAAGGTGAGTGGGTGGCTGGAGTCCTGTGCTCTGCACCTCGGGTTCACTTAGTTCTCTTTGGGTTGTCTGTAATTTGTCACAGTGAGCAAAAGAGCAAAACCTGTCTGCCGCAGGACTAGAGAGATTTATGGCCAGATTGATCTCAGCAGAACTGTAGGCTTTAACATCTCACCAAAATGTTTAACGTATATCATAGTAGAAAGCACAAACAGCATAAATAAACCAAAGTCAGAAAAGCCTTTCTGTTCTGTTATGGTTAGTGTTAGATCAGGAATTGCTACACATCATCTTCCATATCCTCTTCATAAAACTCAAGGCAGACAAAGAAAACACGGCTTTTCAGTGACCACACAATATATCTCCTCTACAAAGTCATCCATAAGGGTTGTCCCAGCCATGGCATGAAGCGCTTGCACTTGGGAAACTTGCACATGTGTCTCTTCTGAGCCTATTCTGATTTTCCAACTGGACAATCAACTCTCCAGACCCCGTTCTGTGCTACCGTCTGCCTCCACGTGATGGAGAGCTCTTGTTCCCCAGGGAATGCCATTAGCACTCACGAATTTCAACTGCTATATTTGTGGGGAAAATTTTCCTTGCTTTTTTTAAAGCTGGGCAGAGGTGCAGGATTTTCAGCCTCCTGGTACTTATTTATGAGGGAAAACAGCAAGCTGATTAATGAGATGCATGAACTGATCCCTTCTCAGTAGGGCTAACTATAGGCTTGGATTTCCCAATACAATCCTATAGGCAGATGGAAGCTGATGCGGTCCTGGACTGCTCAGCTCTTCTGCACTCTTCGCTGGTCAACACTTCTAGCAACTCAAACTGCCTGAGACACAGGCACAAGAAGAGAAAAGCCACAAGGCCAGGTGCTGTCACATTGCACACGAGTGCTTGGATGTTACTGCCTTGTGCAATATTAAAACTCAGAACGATTGCTTTTCAGTCATCTTATCCATTCTCTGCTTCAATAATCATGCCATAAAGGAATGCTCCTTGCAGCCAGGATGAAGCAAACATCCCAGAGTAACAGCTCTGCAATCCTTCTCCAGCCAGTTACAATTAGACCAGGTGATGCCCAAAGTAATTAGGCAAAAATTTTCCACTGGATATAAAACAGCAGTGCTTCTTAGCTGGCACTTGATTAGCCATTATGTATTTATGTATATGAAGGCAAAAGTAGTTCCTCAAACCACCTTCTGGCATAAGGGTCATGTGTAGAGA